AAACCATATCTTGGAGGAGGCAAGGGAAAAATGCCATTTAAAAAAAAAAATCCAAAAAAACCCAACATGTCTTTTTTTTTTTTAAACATCTTTATTGGAGTATAATTGCTTTACAATGGTGTGTTAGCTTATGCTTTATAAACAAAGTGAATCAGTTATACATATACATATGTCCCCATATCTCCTCCCTCTTGCATCTCCCTCCCACCCTCCCTATGCCACCCCTCTAGTGGTCACAAAGTACCGAGCTGATCTCCCTGTGCTATGTGGCTGCTTCCCACTAGCTATCTATTTTACATTTGGTAGTGTATACATGTCCACGCCACTCTCTCACTTTGTCCCAGCTTACCCTTCCCACTCCCCGTGTCCTCAAGTCCATTCTCTACATCTGTGTCTTTATTCCTGTCCTGCCCCTAGGTTCTTCAGAACCATTTATTTATTTATTTTTATTCCATATATATGTGTTAGCATACGGTATTTGTTCTCTTTCTGACTTACTTCACTGTGTATGACAGACTCTAGGTCCATCCACCTCACTACAAATTTCGTTTCTTTTTATGGTTGAGTAATGGAACCCTCTTGCACTGTTGGTGGGAATGTAAAGTGATACAGCCACTATGGAGAACAGTATGGAGGTTCCTTAAAAAACTAAAAATAGAACTACCATACCACCCAGCAATCCCACTACTGGGCATATACCCTGAGAAAACCATAATTCAAAAAGAGTCATGTACCACAACGTTCATCGCAGCTCTATTTACAAGTCAGGACATGGAAGCAACCTAAGTGTCCATCAACAGATGAATGGATAGAAAAGCTGTGGCACATATATACAACGGAATATCATTCAGCCAACATGTCTTTAAAGTGGCAGCTGTCATATGAAGAGTGAGCCATCTCAAGGTTGCCACACCCACCAAAGATAGAACTGCCCTGCAGGGCTCCTGGTTATCAAAGAGAGGGAGAGGGAGATGGGGAGGGAGAAGGAGAAGAGCGGGGAGAAGGAGATTGAGGGGAAGGGGGAGGGGGAGGGAGATGGACAGCGAGAGGAAAATGGATGGGGGAGAAGGATAAAACGAGGCTGACAGTAGGACATGGGATTCTGGGAACGCAAAGAAGTAATTTACCAAGGGAAGTGGAGCTGGGCATCTCAGGGGTGGAAGGTTTTGTGAATTCCTATTCTTGAAATTGCCTGAAACGATTGCAGTTGTGCAACGGAAGGGACAGATGGGATAAAGCAGTCCCAGGTCTGTTTCCCAGGTGAGGAAATGAACGTCTGCGAAGCAAGCCAGCCCCATCCCCCAACCGTTCTCAGGACCAGAACACAGGCCACCCCATCACCAGCCTCCGAATCAAGCTCACTCACACCCACGGCATCTCCAGCCAGGGGTTCCGAGAACACAGCCTGAGAAGCCCTGTGACGTCAGAACAGCACTAGGCACGCTTTACAACCAGAGCCAAAGTAATTCCCATCTGTGACCCTGAAACTGTTGCCCCCACGGCCAGCCTGGCCCCCAAACGCTCGGGTCCCCATGTAAACGCTCAGCCTTCGGCACAGACAGAGCCCTGACACCATCCCCGTGAGCACGCCCCACTCGGCGACACCGTCACCAACAGGAAAGAGGCTGTCCCGATGGTTCGCCTCCCAGCCCCACACCGGAGCCTCTGGGAGCAGAACCCCACACCATCCCAGCACGGGAAACACCCACCATGGACAGGGCACTCCGGCCTCTTCAGGGCAGCTGGGCAACGTTTTGTGGCCGGGCCTTGGCTCCCACCAGCTTGGTCCCCTCATCCTCCAGTGGGTTAGGGGTAGAGAAGATGAAGCCCGTTCCGTTTCAACTCAAAATCAGGATCTCCTGAGTGCGCTCAACTTTCTTCATAAAAGATCTGTTCAGTCAAGGGTAAGAGGCAGACTTCTGACAGCTTTCTGGAAAGAGCACCGAGGCAACTGGGTGACAATGTTTTGATGACGTTCTTTTCTGTTTTTTTCTTTTTTTTTGGCCTCATCGCGAGGCATGTGGGATCTTAGCTCCCCCAACCAGGAATCGAACCCACACCCTCTGCACTGGAAGGCAGAGTCTTAACCACTGGACCACCAGGGAAGTCCCGATGACCTGATGACGTTCTTATAGACACAGAGGGCTCCTCAGAGGCACTGAGCTCAACAACACGGGGAGATCTTCTGTTACAAGATGGTGCTTGAGCCGCTCCACCCAGTGGGCCACTACTCGGGCCTGGGCCGCCTGAGGACTGACACAGACAGGCCACATCTGCCCATCCCCGAGAGGAGGGGCTGGAGGATGTATTTAGTTCCTTGATACTCGTGTGATGGAGGGACAGGTGCCCCCAGCAGACAGTGGGAAATTCGGGAGTGAGGTCCCACTGTGGACCCTCCATCCGCAGCACCAAGCTGGGTACACACACCTGATGACGTCACTCCCAACCCTCACAGCAGCTGTGAAAGGTCGGAATGATCATCTCCATCTCACAGAGAAACACACAAAGGCTCAGAGAGTCTGACTATCTTGCCCTCAGCTTCTCAGCCAAGATTCAAACCCAGGTGAGTGCGACCCCAAGACCCAGGTAAGAGACGGGCTCTCGGATTTACATATCCACTGTATGTCCTCAAGATGTCTGCAACTGAGCTGGAAAGACAGGAGATACGTTCAAAGACAAATGGACATTCTAGACCAGCCTGTCCAATGGACCTTTCTGAGATGGCGGAAATGTGCTATGCTCTGTGCTGTCCAGGAACCACACACAGCCACCGGCTAATTTGATGTGTGGCTAGGGCAACGGAGAATCTGCATTTTTAATTGTATTTCATTTAAATTAATTTGAACTTAAGGGGCCGCTGAATGTCCATATCGGACAGTGTAGTTAGAGATATTTTCTACCAAAAACATTCAGAAAACAGAACGGTCATAGCAGGCTTCATGCAGGACAGAGGCTCCAGGTAGGCCCTTGATGTGCTAGGATTTGAACAGGACCCTTGTTTCAGGCATGATCATCTTCCCTGTAGAATCTGGTTTGGAGTCAAGGACCCCAGAAATCAAGCCCAGTGCCCGTGGTCGTGGTCCACAGATGAGGAAAGCAAGGACGCTCCTCCCGTGTCCTTGTTCTTCTTGGAACTGCCTTACGCGGCAGCACGAGGAACTCTCGTTCGCCCCCCGCCACTGTCCTCCTGGAGGCTTTCCTCTCCTCCTTGCCCTGTGCCCTCCCTGCCAACACCAGCAGGTGCTGGGCTCGAGCTCTCTTTAGAAACCTGGACATCTTCTGTTCTACTTGTGGGCTGAGTCATTCCTCTCCTGCGATGGCTTTCATGTGCTTTATTCTCTTACACCTGTCACTCTGAGAATGGCATGTCTTGAAACAGTAAACAGCACCACTCACAGACAGACAGCTCCACCACCCCAACACACAATCCCAACTACAGGAAACAGAAGCCCTCCATCACCACTGGCCCTGTGCAGTGCCGGACCCCAATCCCGAGAGCGGGGCACTGTATCTGTCTGACTCCATTCTTTCCCATACGAAGGTACACCCAAGGCAACGGCTGGGCCCCCTAGTACTGAATCTCCCGTCTCTGACATCCCAGTCACCGCCTGTCTACTAGTTGCAGACATGTTGACAACTCTTCGGCTGTAAGACCAGATCAGCAAACAGGGTTCCCGGCACAGCAATTACCTGCCCTTCAGGCCAGGCCCCTGCATGCCCAGCTCTCAGAAGACAGGTGGCTCTGTCTACACAGTGGGACACTTGAAACCTCTGTCCCCAGTTTTCTAGCTCACGCAGCTGCCACATGCTTCACTCTTCCTTCCAAGCATTAATAACAGCCACAGGAACCCTTACATTCTCTAGCTTAAGGGATAGAGATCATGTAGGGTTGTAGGTTGTTTTTTGGCCAGGAGGGGGTCATCTATTTTTAGTTCTTCCAGCTGTGGGAAAGGGAACCTCTATCTACCTTCCCAAAAAAGCGCAGACACACAATTTCACCTTCTGTACTCCGAGGACTAAGGTTCTTTGGGCTGCAATGAAGATGGTGTATGTCCTTCTAAGATGACACTCAAAACGAGGCCGGCCTTTGCATGTGGGATCACTGTGTGGTCGAGCTCACCACACACTTGAGACCCAAGACCCCACCAGGCAGGGAAGGAAGACCCCCCCCCAATATCTGAGAACTCCATGTCAGGGTTGACAAAGTGGCCACAGGCCTGGTACATCCCACAGCTCGCGAGCTAAGAATGGTTTTTAAATTTTTAAAGGATTATAAAAATCTTTTAAAATATACTATAGACGCAGTAATGAGTCTGCAGAGCCTAAAATATTGCTGTCTGACCCTTCCTGGGACAAGGTTGCTGACCCCTGGTCTAAATGAGCAGGACCTCAGCCGTCCAGAGGGTACCTGCCGTTTCCTGAGCTGAGTCCTCAACATTCCAAGTCCTCTTCATCCCCCTATGTTAGTTTTCCCTTTAAGTTCAGAAACAGATATAAAATGTTCTGAGGAAAGGCACGATAGCTATCAAACATAATAGCTGATAAACAAACGTTCACTTCTTCCAAGGAGTTCAACGTCACAGGTGAGGATCTGGTTCAACACCTGTGCCTTTACTGTGACAGAAACAAGGCTCCAATTAACAACCAGCCAGAGACGATTCCAGGCATCAAAGCGAAGACGCCACAGAATGTCCTCACCCATCCTGCTGCTGACTCAGGGATCCTTTGGGTAGCCCCAGCATCCACATTTGATAACGGTATTTTGACTCACCTTCTCCCCCACTGTCCAAGGGAAAGAAAACAGAGGCAGAAACACACCTGAATTGTCCCCTGGGATCTTGCCTTTGAGTTTCTTAGACACCTGCCCCTAAATATCCTCAGAGTCTCTCTGGATTAGAACTCAAAGGAAAAACACAGCATCCAGCTCTTCCTGGGCTTCCACCAGAGAGAACGGCAGCCCGGCCCGCAGCGCGAAGCCCCCAGCGCAGCCACCGTCTTACCTGGTTCAGTGCAGTTCTTGCTGCTCCGCAGCCCTGCATCTTCTGAAGTCAGCGAGTCATTCACCTGCATTAACTTCCTGCCCACGGTCCACTGTCTGTCTTGCCCGATGAGGTCCATGAAGTCAAGGTCTGGGGAGAAAGAGATCACAGCCACGCATCACTAACAGCTGGGTGTCACCTGTCCCCAGGCTGGGTGCCCAGTGCCTTCAGCCATCGGCACTCAGTCCGGCCAACACCCCTTAGACCTCTCACCACCGTCGCTCACCATCCTGCCCCCACCTCCCAAGGGCTTCCTCGGCTCCTGGATCCTACTGGCTCCCACAGCGGCAGCCCTCAGCCAACGGCTGGGAGGGGGCGGTGTATAAACACCTCACGCTCCAGTGGGATGACTCTGAAGTGTGTGTTCTACCCTGGAATCCAGTTTTCTCCACTGGGATGACTCTCCAGGTGTCTACAAGGTGACTCTCCTGATAAAACACACTTTATTGGCCGCTGTCCTTTCCTGTCTTAATTCCCTGCACCCAATAACATGCTGAGAAATGTTGAACAACCAACTCTCCAGGGGAAAAAGTCCTGGTCTTGTATCCACTGGACAACTTCCATGGTGTAAATATTCCCATCATGGCCAATTTCGAGCTACCAACGTGATCTCACTGAACGTGGACTTGGGAAAAAAGGGCACGGCTGGGTCCGCTAAGTCAGGGTGACTGGCACCTACCCACCAGCAGCTACTCTTTGACCAGCACTTCCCTGAACCGCCTCCCAAATACACCACCTGCCACTGAACACCTGCTCAGGATCTGCTTCTCGGGGTCACCCAGGCTAAGACACCACAACAACATGCCCAGAGCCTGGGCCAGTGAATCCCACATAACAAGATTTCAGTAAACACGAGATGAGAGCGTGAACAAGGGGAAAGTCGATCACTGAATGCATGACTAGGGCTGAGGTCTCCGGCTGAGATGCCCATGGGGATGGAAGTGTCAGGAGAAAGAACAGAGACGGAAGGGCCCGTTGGGGGAGAATATGGTGGCTTCTGCTTAGGACGTGTTGGATCTGAAGTGTCTGGACCATCCACAGGGCAGCGTGCTGCCCGGGTAATGTGGGTGCAGACACCGCAGGGTGGACAGCTAAGCTACACAGAACATCAGGAGAATCATAAGCAAATACGGAAGAGTATGGCATGTGTATGGATGCAGTTTCCTAAAGAGAAGGGAATGGAAGAAGAAACCATGGGAAACTCAGCATTCCTTCAGAGCAGGTAGAGTCAAAGCATTCAGCAAAAGATCATGAAAGGAAGGAAAAGAACAAGGGAAGTGGTGTCACAGAAGGTAAGCAGAAAGAGAATTTCAAAAAGGAAAAAGTGGCCGATGGCCTTGACTGCCATGGACCAATCACGTAAGACAAATGCAAAGACACAACAGAGCGGGACCTCAGAGGGTCACTGGGATGTGGAAACAGCAAGCACAGATGGCTCTTTCTAGTGGCTTGGAACTCAAGAAAGATGTGACATGAGGCTTTGGCTACCTCTCGAGTGTCCAGAGTTGCTGTGGTCAGAAAATGGATCTAAGAACAAGACAAGGCTCTAATTCATGGGCCCAGAGGCCTTCACAAAAGGCGAGAGGGTGCGCCCCACCGAGCCACACCAGCACAGAGTTCTGAATTGGTCAATGAAGAGCTGAAGGTCATCATACCCTTTCCTCAATTTCCATGGGGATTTTAGTTTCCTAAATGATGTCACTTTCATTATATAATTGGAACCTCATGACAATGCTCAGGAAAGAAAGAGGGAGCCTGGACACTGTCGCTCGGTCCACTGCTGTCTCTCTGACACCTAATCACTGCTGGCTCAGAGGAGGTACTCAGTAAGTATGTGTCAGAGTAACCATTCCCACTTTGTGGATGGATAAAGTAAAACTCATGGAAGTTTCTGGAAATCACAGTGCTTGTAGGCATCTCACCTAAAGCCAACAGGACACACAGTAACATCCATAGCTCACACACTGAGGTCTTCCTCAGTCAAATGGAACCTGCTCCACATGTAAAATTATCAAGTAGCTAATTACAACTTTTATACATTAGCTAGGACAGCCCCTAGGTTTATTCTCAAAAAAATGTAGAAAGTGGGGCCCAACTAGAATAAGCAATAACTTAAGACTCTGAAATACAGAAACCTACATGATGGCCAGATATAGCCATAACTGTGAGGACAATCCCAAAGATATTTCAAGGTCAAAGCAAGGCATCTGTGTAGTCCTGTTCACCTGAATGGTTAATTCTTAGGATTAAGAACAGTGACAAGCAGAGGAAAAAAATTGCAAAAAACTCATAAACAAGGAATGAGGTCAGTTGCCTTAAAATTCAACAGGCAGACCTAAAATGTGAATATTACACCATATCGTTTGTCTCAGGTTGGGTTTCCGCAGAAGCAGCCCCTGAGGACAAGGATTTGAGCACAGGTTGTTTACGTGGGGGGTGATCTCAGGAAGCACCCGTGGTGGGACAGCGCCAGGGAGCCAGCCAATGGAGGTGTGTTTCAAGTCCATTGCTAAAATGGGTGAACTAGCACTTGACCCCTCTGGAAATCTCTGGGGGCCAGTGTAGACGTGCAACTCAGACACCCAAGGGGTGAGGGAGCTGGGGTATTTATCCACCTGCTCTTGGTCTGCCATGGGTTGAATGTAGGCTGTTCCCAGGGGACATTAATTCCCTGGCACTTCCAACCAAAGTGGGCTCTGGTACCCAGCAAAAGGCCTTAGATAATGAGACGCAGGTGCTGAAAGTTGGACGGTGCCCATGTGCACTGAAGACATGAGGACAAAGTGATGCGGGCAGGATGCCGATGGCATCTTCCAGCCTACACGAGACCAACAGATTGGCCGTTCTGCTCTTCTTGTAATCTGGGTTAAAGAAAAGTGCTCTGTGGTGCTGCAGTCCTAACATTCAGGAAGATCCCAATGTGCGTTGTTTGTATAGTGGTGAGCATAGCTGCCTTCCAGGAAGATTCCAAAAATCTGCAAAGAAGCAAAAGCATCCCTTCCAGTGACTTGCAAAGTTCCTGCTTAGGCCAAATTTCCATGGTTCTGTAATTCTGAGAGAAAAGCTGATACCAATTAAGAGATATAAAAATAAAGCCAGCTATTGTAGCAGAAAATTAGAGGATTTTTTTACACGATGATTCAACAGCTTCAGGAATCAGAGACTATTAACGCAGCGCCTCTGGATTCCAAAACCTACAAACGTTTATCTCAAAAAAATATATATGACCACTGACCACTGATATACAGATGTGGAGACCAGAATCTGAGAAAACGAGAATGATGAAAGCAAAGCACTGCGTTCACTTACTTCCCACTGAGAACCATGTGACGATATTACACCCCATTCTCTTTGTCCTCACAAAACTGCTGGTGAGGGACTTCCCTGGTGGCGCAGTGGTTAAGAATCCACCTGCCAATGCAGGGGACACAGGTTCGAGCCCTGGTCCAGGAAGATCCCACATGCTGTGGAGCAACCAAGCCCGTGAGCCACAACTACTGAGCCTGTGCTCTAAAGACCGTGAGCCACAACTACTGAGCCTGCATGCCACAACTACTGAGACCCATGCGCCTAAAGCCGGTGCTCCGCACAGAAGCCACCGCAATGAGAAGCCCGAGCACTGCAACGAAGAGTAGCCCCCACTCGTCGCAACTAGAGAAAGCCCACACGCAGCAACGAAGACCCAACGCAGACAAAAAAAAAAAAAAAAGTCAAAAGAAAAAAACAAAACTTCTGGTAAGGTAGGAAAGGGCAGTTGGTTCTCGGGTCAACTTACCTTTGGAGTAAATAAGTCAGAGTAGAAGTGATCTGCCTAAACTCGGAACCCACCCATGGCCACAGCCACTGCCAGTTAATAATCATCATGACAGCCATTTATTGAGTGTCATGACAGCCATTTATTGAGTGTCTATTACGTGCGAAGAACTTGCCACTCTTCGCCATGTTTCATCTTAACATCTTATTCTGAACTATTAACTCCATTTGCAAATAAGGAAACCGAAGCACAAAAGAGGTTAAAGACTTGCCCAAGGTCACACAGCAAGCAAAGAGGAGCAGAATGGGGATCTGACCAGGATCTGACCAGGTCTAGTGACCCCAAAACCCACATTCTTGGTAGATCCCTGCAGAGGATGAAATCCATCTGGCCATATTACTCAGCTATAGCAAGACAGATCCACTATGCAGCCTGCACCTTATACGAGGTGAGGGGTGGAGACAGTCTCACTGGACCTACTTCCCCCAGAAACTATTAGGAACAGTGGCAAGTCAGGAGCATCACCCCGTGAAAGCATCACACACACAAAAGAAAACGGTCCTGAAACCCCACTGGATGCAGGACGCTCAGCTGAGCGTGGATTTCTCAGAGACTCAGCTGGCCCCTTGGTCACAACATGGAGGCTTACAGTCTTGGATTTAGGGAGGAGTGGGTGGGCAGTGGGGAAGGCAGAGGGGATTGGGGGAGGCGCCCGCTGCTCTCCCCTCATCACCCCCGGCTTCCCTGGACTTCTTGGCTCGGCAGGGGATGCTCCTCGAAGCTACACTTGAGCAATGTCAACAAAAGCCCTTGGCCCCCGTCCACCGCGTGCCTGGCTCCGCCTGCCAGGCCCTGGAAGTGGCGAGCTGGCCTAATTAGTCAGGGAGCGGGTGGGGGCGGTGAAGAGGGAGGCAGCGGGCTCACATGTCACATGTCACCAGCTCTGAGCAGGGCGGCAGGGGTGGGCCGTGGAGATAGCGCGGCGGCCTGCTGGAGGGGAAGAGGTTCTCAACTTGAGACTCAAGCACACGCACTAAGGAAGGAGAGAGTGTGAGGCTGGGAGCCAAGTTTCCATTACAGAGCTGTGCCCTCGTCCTCTCCTGCTCTCTCCCTCCCTCTCTCTCTCTCTCTCTGTCTCCCTGTCCCCTTCCGCCTCTCCATGATCAGGGCTTGGAAAGCCCAAGGCTTTCTGACCCCAAGAATGGATTTCCTTCAGTGCCCCCTGTCCCAGCTTCACCCTAAGACTAACATGCTTTCTCCCATGTGCACCCTCGTCCCACATAGGGTCCCAGGCCCAGCGGAGAGGTGGAGCTGCCACCCTCTGAGGAGGGAAGGA